CTTAACCCCTGATTGCTCCCCGAGTGCCCCACGATGGCAGCCCACTGCTCTCCAAGGGGATGGGTTAAATGCAGAGGTAGATTTCTGCAATGTGAGCGCTGCAAAAAATCTAAATCTAGATAAGTTGTTTTCCTTAAAATAAGTGCATTTGTTCTTGGATTGAGGAGGTAAAAGAGACAGTTTGCCAATGGTACATTTACAATAAGAAAACACAATTGCATTGTCTTATTTCAAGTACACGTTATCTAATTATCTTATTTTAACAGTAAAAATACTCATTCCATTGGTAAACTATCTCATTTACCTTCTAAAATTAAGTGTCAATCAACTTAATTTAAGAATTTTTTTTTACTTATTTCTAGATCGTTTTTCCAGTGAGATAAATAAAGTTCAATTATTATTATTCTTTCCATTTTACCCACACAGTATCGTAGTGATGCAGCTCACATCCACAAGGTTTATGACACTTTTGTTCCCATGAGGCTTTATGTTTTACCTGGAAGGTTGATGGGGGAGTCCTAATGAGTGTGTTTTTGGTAGTTTGGTCAGGGTGTGGTCATGGTGTCTGTCTGTCCTGCATCAGTGTGTTTGTGTGCTGCTGTCAGACTGAGCCAGAAGCATACTGAGCTTCCCTCATTAGCTGTCTGCTTTAACTCTGCTGAGATGTACAGCTTTCCTTCAGAGAGCACACACACACCTTTTTCCACACATGTATTTGCACCATTTTTCAATTGCACAGCTGCTGACAATGAAACACCTACTAAAGCAATCTTCTCATTATCGCCTAAGGCCCCACTTGGCTCCATGTTGTTGGCGTATACAAAACACACAAACCCTGTTGAGTCAGACCAGTTGATTTGGTCCATTTTCACATCGAGCTTCCATTGAAACCAGGCCCCTCTATGAAGGTTATTTTGTTTCAAAACTATTTGTGCATTGTAGGTGTGAATTTGAAGTTGTAGAGAAAGTTACATTCTAAGTTTTGCATTTGTAGAATTTAAAAAAAAAAAAAAAAAAAATCAGTAGTAATTTTTTTTTTTACATCTGTTCAGATTTTAAGTACAAGTAAACAAATTCTGTTCTCCAAGTTGAACATCAAAAACCTCTTACATTCTCAGTCTTGCTCCAAATGGTCCACATCTATTGTTGCAAATCTATTTGTGCATTGTAACTTTGGTTTTTTTGTAATTGTAGATTTTTTTCAATCTGTCATAATTACAAAATAAAGTTACACCTCTTCAAATTCTTGAGTACGAGTAGAAAAATTGTGTTCTGTGAGTTGCACATCAAAAATGTCTTCCATTCAGTTTTGCTACAGTTGATCTAAGACAAATGGTGCAAAACAAATTCAAACACGTGTATTAAAATCTTTAAAAGAAAAATGTATACAATTTTTTTCTTTAACTCAAATACGAATCAATGAATACGACTGCATGAATCTACTGCTTCAAAACAGGACGCTGACAGCAATGTAATCCTTTATTACACGTTCCTTAAAAAATCTTTCTTCGTTTCACAGTGTCTAAGGCCACGTTCACACAGCAGCCTGAAGTGACACAAATCTGATTTTTTTGCCCATATGTGACCTGGATCTGATCTCTTCATGACAGTCTGAACAACACAGATCCGATTTTTTCCAATGTGATCCAGGCTACTTGGCTATGTGGTCCTGAATCCAATACGAATCTTATCTTTTCAAATGCGACCTCTGTCTGAATGGCCAGGTCGCATTTATCCGACCTGAACGCCATAAGTATCACTATTCTGGGTCTTTCTATGAAAACGCGGCACAAAAACAACAACCATGGCAGATGATGATGTGGAGAGCAGTATTTATGTTTAACCGTCTTGGAAAGATTGTGTTTTTATGGTTGGGAAAGACTGCTAGATGTTCTTCAGCACTACCATCCATGTTAACTAACGTAAACACAGGGCATGCTAGCTTGTGATGTCATTGCGTCCTCTACTGCGCATGCGGGACACTTGAGTTGTACGACTGCAGTTCACACAAAATACCACATCGCATATATTTGGAAATATGAACGGCAACTCAAAAAAATCGGATTTCACAAAAAATTGGGATTGTGCATCAAGGCCTTCAGTGTGAACGTAGACTAAAAGTTCTCATATTATTGAAAACTGTTCTCAACCATATTCTTGTAATCAAAATGAAATAGTAAATGGACTGTATGGATATTTATTATAGGCTACACCCAGTAGAAATAATACTTTTTCCTAAGTCAAATGTAGTAATTAAATCTATATTTGTGTTCAATATTGACTTATCATTTCTTACTGTTCTATGTTCTAATATCCGTAAATAAAGTTTTGAAACAAAATAACCTTCATACCACTCAGTCAAAATCACTGACTGCATTAGTGTGTAAAGGCACATCTGCTTCTCAAAGGATTTCTTCCCTGCTGGGTATCATTTGGCTTTTTTCTTCTTTTTTACAAGTTCTCAGCAGGTCAAAGTTGAACTTTTTCGCTCCTAGATCCAGACTGAGGGATGTTGAGGCAGGCTGAGTATGTTGCATTTTTTCTGTGCCAAAAAAGAGTTCAGTTCGCTCCTTCTTATCATAGCTTCTGATTTAAATCTCTGGGACCAGCCAGGAATTATGTGACATTTAAGCCATGAAAGAAGTTTGGATCCACTAATCAGAGCTCTGTTGACAACTTCAAGCTCTCACTTTAACTTATTTCAAGAGATTTTATCTTTAAGAAAGGCAGTTTGAAAATGTTTTCTCTGCTCTGTGATTAAATATTCCTTTTTCTTTACAAAAGAAGGAGCTATTGTATTAAAAAAAGGGATTCCCCCCCAAAGCAATAAGACTGCCAGTGCCTTTTTCTCTTGAAATCTCTTAATCTAACAAAATCCTTGAAGCCAGGAAGCAGGTATCAGTAAAAATAGAACTACTTCAAACCAAAAGCAGAGATACGAGCAGAGTAGAGCTCCAACTAGAGATTATTTAGCTACTTTTGCTTTTGCTTCATTTGTTAGACCTATCCATAGTAGTTAAATAGTAATCTGGTGCTATGTGGGATATTTTATTTTACAACGAGATGACGTTAAAACCAGGGACTGTAAGAGTTCTGGATGGAACAGTTTTACAGACAATTTTAATGTAAAATGTATACTTTGAAATTTGAGCTTTATTATTGTTCAGAGTTGTTTCTTTTAGGAAATGACATGTTTTAGAGTCTGTATGCTTCAGTTGGTGGTTGTTTTAGTACTGACAATTATCTCATTTAGAGCTGAAACAATCAGATTATTCGTGATTAATTGATTATTGAAATAACCTTCTATTAATTTAGTGATCATGTAAAAACATATGTGTAAACATTTTGCATTTAAGATAAAAAGCTTTTTCATCTGTCGAAATACTCAGCCCAGCTCTCCTGAAGTGGAAAATTTGTTTAGTTTCACCTGGTTTGATTCAGTAAAATCATACCTGGTTTATGCCTTTACCACCTTTTGCTATCCAATTATTAATCTGTTAATTCATTGAAGAAATAATCAACAGATTATAAAATAACGGTTAGCTGCAGCCCTAATCTCAATGCTTCTAACAGGATATCTCAATGCACACCTGAAAATGGAAAATTCAGAATACATACAAAGGTTTTCATTTTTTCTAGATTTAATACAAATACTTTTTCTGTCCAACTTAATGAGCTGATTTACTGCTGTTAATTAACCTTTTATAATGTGGTTACATCTCTTAAACTAACTGCTCACAATACAGGAAACTTTAAAAACCAGTATGGGGTGAGCAGATTTTATTGTTTTAAGACAGACACAGTTGTTGTGGAAGTACTGGTTTAGGTCAACTCAGGCCAGTGTTGTCAAAAGTACACCAAATGTTACTTAAGTTGAAGTATCAACTTGACCTCTTTACTCAAGTAAAAGTGAAAAAGTATGAGCTCCAAAAACTCCTTAAAGTGTAAAAGTATAAAGTAACCTTTAAAAAACAGCCAGATGCCGCTATATGAATTGAAAGCTCAATTTTTCGACTATTTCAAAAAATTCTTTGAGATAGGGCCAAGGATGAGGGAGGTCTTGTTGGTCTCCATCTCCCGATACGCTCTCGCCTGTGTCCGGCCTTTCAGACATTTCAACATCTTTTTCTGAATCCTACATTGTAGCATGGCATAGACAATTCACGTTTGCAGTTTGAAGAACACCTGCTTGCTTCTGATGATTTCCTTTAGCTAACCAATGAGTGTTTGCGTTATATGACTCATCCAATCACACTAGTTATCACTAGATGTGGATGGAACCAATGATCTGCATTGGATGGCGCACATGACGTGAAATAAATATTTAGAAACATTAAACCAGGGGTTTAAAAATCAGCGGGGTCGAAATAAGGAAAATCATCAAGCAGTAAAGGTGACCTGATGCATTCACTGGATGGAAACTAATTGTCAGACAGGTTTAATCTGGAATAATCTGCATTACCCCTCAGAATTTCTTGCTGAAAGGTTTATTGACTCCACCCTGCTTTGGTTTTTGAAACTCTTCTTGGTTTTCTATGTTTAGGTTAATTAGATTATAGTTCTCATACAAATTTATGTTTTCCTTGACTTGTTTAATACAGCTATAGCACAATAAAAAATTAGTTTGCATTTGCAAGCCCAAGAATGAAAGAAATGGGTAGTTTTGGAGTGATCTTACCGTTACAATATAATAAAAAATATTTAAGGTCCAGCTTTCAACTTTAAGGATACGAACAAATGCAGAACCTGGATCACATTTCACACAAAGTCAACTTGATTCAGCTTGTGTTGATTAGAAACATGAGCGCATAGAGGGAGTTTCCTGTCATGCATTTTAGATGCCAAACTCATACTTCAGCTGATTGCCTTTAATGTGGGAAACAGATGGGAAACACATAGGCTACCTGCTCCTGTTGGAAATCATGCTTGCCATCTTCTTTTGTGCTTAAATGATTGGAAATGATTTGATATTAATGCTGTGGTGTTTTTTTTATTTCTAGTAACAAACTTCAACAATGGCTTGGAGGCCAGTTCAGACTCAGATGATGAGGACAAGCTACATATTGTGGAGGAAGACAGCCTGTTGGAGCCTGATGCCACAGAAGCCAATGGGGCCACAGCGCTGGAGAGCCATGATGCCACCATAACAGTATTACCCCACAACGGCTCCTGGAACGGAGGTTAGATGATAGAAATAATATGTTTTTAATTATTTTATACTTAAAAACACTGTAAGATTCTCTGCATCACTCTGATAACACCAAACCTAAAATACTACACCATGCAGGGGTTGACGTTAAGGATTTCACATTTCATTTGCCCAGAAACAATTTTTACTTGCCCAGTATAATGTTTGATAAATATGTTTCCTAATATTCATTTTTATATATATTAACTAAACATGTTTTTTGTAATTCAGTATTTTTTAAGTTTCCAGGTTCCTGGTGTGTATATGCATGCATCAGATAATGAACTCAAGCCTACATTACCTGTTGTGTACTTGGAAAAAATATAAATTGTAATGTTAAAAATAAAAAAAAACTTGACAGGTTAAAAACTTAAAATAAATCACAAGACAGAAGTCAATGTCACAAATGAATCACTTTTATTTTAGAGTCATGGTATGTTTATACAAGATAATACTATTAATATAATGTGACTTTTCTAGAGAATCATTATACATAGTTATTTTATACACAGTCTGACATCATTTCAGAATTCCCTGACTTTTAACTGACTCAGGATTAGTTTTCCCTGACAAAATAAATGCAGCAACAACACAATAATAATAACATAACAGGTCACCAATTTAACATGTTTAGCTCTATAACATTTAAATGCACCTCTCCAATGTCTAAGAGAAAAAAAATGAATGAACATTTTTTAATGTATGACCTGCATCACTGTACAGAAGACTGCCATATGATAGCCATATTTACACTGTGCGCATGGCATACAATTATGCCAATTTTCCTAATACCTGACTGATAATTTTTAATCTAGGGTTATCTGGGTGGTGGGTGAAATGCATGGAGGGTAAAATTGGTGGTGGGTGTGTTATTGTACTTACATTTTTTTGCCTTGTGGTTGTTTTTTAGCCTGCTAAGTGCAAATTCAAATGTGTCTGATTCAAGCCAATTCCAAAAATCTCGTCATCTGGCGGAAAATCACGCGGCTTTTTCAAATCACGCGGCTTTTTCAAATCACGCGGCTTTTCCAAATCACGCGGCTTTTCCAAATCACGCGGCTTTTC